ATCCACCAAACAACCCAGACGCAGAACTCTCTTTGATACCACTTGTCGAAACCAGGCTCATTAAGTACGATATTGTCCACTTTGGGCCAAGCCCGCACGGTTTTACTCTTGGGTGTCCTCCCCAAAAGGCCTCGTACTAATGAGATTGGTGGACACTAATATACAAGGGTTCATTCCCTTGTATTACCGATGTGGTACTTGGATTGTACCTTAACATCCAATATTGATGTCATTTTTTAGGAAGAATACCAACTATGTTTTGTTAAAGTCTGTTACTTTTTCCGTTCACACATGTAAGTCCAGTTCTTCATCTTAGTAAGAAAGTGAATTAATTTCCTTATTAAAGCTAATTCTTTCTCCGACCCACTTCCTTTCTTGCACAAACGAGTTGACAAACAAATTCTTTCTCCGACCCATAAATAACCAAATCTGGACCCTTCATTTAGAAAATCCAGATCTAAGGATGGAGAATTAAAGACTATTTTTATTTTCACTAGCTTTCTTAATTGACTCATATCTTTTTCGTTTTAATTCGGATTTTAATTTTTTTTGCACAGATGGAACGAGTTCACCGTGCTCTACAAAATGAGATCAATTTTCAATATTTTTTTAGGAATAAAAATTCTGGCCTCTCGGTACCAACTGCATACCATATGGTATTTTCTTCGTTTTTAATTCGTTTTTGAAAACGTTTGCACAGCAGGGACGAGTTCATCATGATCTACTGGATCTACAAATTTCTGGGTGAACAAAATACAGGACCAAAAAATACCACACATACCATACAATACCACACTGGTACGGGGTGGTATTGTATGGTATCTTGTTCGTTTTTAATTCGTTTTTGAAAACGTTTGCACAGAAGGGACGAGTTCATCATGATCTATTGGATCTACAAATTTCTGGGTGAACAAATTACAGGACCAAAAAATATCACACAATACCATACAATACCACCCTGGTACGGGGTGGTATTGTGTGGTATACAATGTTAAAAGTCGTAAATTACAATTAATATACTTCTACTATCATGTATTCAACCATCCTACAGTATTGGTTTGTTCATACCACCATGGTACGTTTTTCAAAACATAGGTATGCTTAGGGATGGCAAAACTGGCCCGGCCCGACGGGTTTGGCCCGACCCACCCTGTTTTGGGGCAGGGCAAACCCGACCCGTCTAAAAATGGGGCGGGTCCTGACCCGACCCGTTGCAGGCCAGGTCAGGTCTGGGTAGTAAGCCCAACCCGCCCTGTCCCCGACCCGGCCCGTAATATTCTATTTATTTAATTCTTACCCACCATGCCACCACCCCACTCAATTTTCTACCTCCTGCATGCGTGTCTCACCTCCCATAAATTTCCCCATTACCCAAGACCACCAAAAACCCCTCTTTCCTTTTCTTTTTGATTCCCAACGTCTCACGCCTCTTTAATTGAGGTGAGGATTGCGATGAGCATATTCCCCCGAGACCACTAAACAGTAAACCCCCTTCCCTCTTTTTGATTCCCAAGCTCTCACCCTGCTTTTTAATTGAAAGAATGACTGCAATTTCCATCGTCTTCTTACCTTCCCAATAAACATCTTGAATCCCCTCTCAGTTTCTATTACCTTGATTCTCATCGTTCCAACTCTCGACTCCCAATTCTAGGTCTTTTGATTTTCTCCATCTCCATCTCCATAAATTTAGTCTCGTTTTCAATTCCCATATATAGGTAGATGATAGACGAGATGCAAGACGCCCAGAACAAGATTAAAATCCCAGCCCATCTCTCGCCGCATCTCTTTCTCTTCCAATCACGCCAGTCGCCAAGCCCTCGTTTGCAAATCGTGAAAAGGTATAAAATTGCTTGCTTGTTTTTGTATTTGATTGCATGTAAATATCTTAATCAAATCTTGTTCTATTGTTGTCCAGTTCTTCTTTTGATTGTGATTTTCATTGTATTCGTTTTTCCAACTCTATCTATCACCCATCTATTGCTTGAATGTTTTGTATTTGCACGTTGTAGCTGCAGCAATGGAAGAAGGTGGAACTGTACGGAGAGTTCAATCTCCAATTTGGTCTTATTTTGAAAAAATCCAAAATGGCCTTAAGAAAGCTGCCAAATGCAAATCTTGCAACAATATAATAGATGCAGATCCGAAGGTTGGAACAAGCCATTTGTGGAGACACTTGACTAGATGCTCTGGAAGACAGCCTACAAATATGCGAGTTGTAGTTGGGATTCAAATTCGTCCCGAAAATGGAAGCAACAACAATGATGATAATAACGATTGAGGATTTGAAGTCTAAAAGAACTGAAGTTTTGAGATTGTGGTAGTGATTGTGTAACTGAAGCAATTTCTGTTTTTGCTTCTTTTCCCTTTGAGTTTGTTAAGTGGATCGTTGATTTGTGAGGCTATGATGTTTATTTCAATGTTCGCAAAAAAAAAAATCAATTGTTGTTTTGATTTGGGCGATTTGTCGGGAAAGCAAACCTTGTTTTGTATGTAAAAAATGTAGTGTTGGGCCAGGGCGGGTTTTACCCGCCCCGTGCGGGCCAGGTCATGGGTCAAAGGATGGGAGCCCGTAGCAGGGCATGGGGCAGGTCGGGGCAATTTTTAAATAGGCAGGGCAGGTCCGGGTATCATGGTACCCGACCTGTTCTGGACCCATTGCCATCCCTAGGTATGCTTTTATTTCAATACCAGTCAATACCATATGGTATAGGCTGGTAAAAAATGGCTCAATTTTTTTTGTTCGAAAAATATATTAAAGTGGATATCATTTTGAAGAGCACAATTAATCTGATCTAACTGTGCAAAAAAAATTAAATTTCGACTTAAAATGAGCGAGAAATCGTCCGTCAAAGATTAAAGAGGGAAAAATTAAAGGTTTTCTATGAGAGAGAGGATGCTGATGTCATGCTGATGTGGACGGGTTACTCATGGTTACTCACCATAAAGTTACTGACCTGATCCATTCCCAACAAATTCATATATAAACTGGAAAGCCGCGCCAAAGCGCGGAGAAAACACCCTAGTTTTACATTAAATATGTCAAGGGTGGTCGGATATCCACCATCATGAGTTCCTATACAGCAGAGTACTATATGTGATCAATTATGCAATTGAAGAGGACGACAGCGTCGACAGGACAAAAACTGGGAGGAAAAGACAGAGAATAGAACAAGAGGAGGGGAAGGCTGGGATTTAGGGCGGTGGAGATGACAACAAGAGAGAAAGTGACATCAAAACACTTGGCTCTTGCATGTGTTCCCATATAAGCAATGCCTGCCTGGTAGCTAAGCTTGATATTTATTACTTGCTTTGCCTGTTTGCTTTGGTGTGAACTAAACTCACAGCTTTGTTGCTTTGGTGTTTGTCACTAAATAGTAAGTAAGATTATGTCTCTGCTGATTATATATGTGGGAGATGAGAAGATGAAACCATTTCCCATTCGTCCTTTCACTCAGTCCCACATACTCAAAAGGCAAAAGTGGGGTTTCAGTTTCACTTGTTATCCGGACCAATAAGGACAAAACGTAGGTCGCATGCTCGAGGAACAATGGTCTGCCATTCATGTCCATTTCCAAGAACTTGTATATGCGCATGCTTCATCTGTTTTGTCGAAATCCAGTAGCTTTACTAGCATAATGTTGCCTGGTTAGAATTAAATTTGATGTCTACCGCTTCGAATTTCAACTTTGAAATTAAGTTTTGATACCACTTGCAGAGATTGAATGGTCCCTTAGTGTGATATTGTCCGCTTTGTATCAAACCCACATGAATTTGTGTTTCAGTTTCTTTCCAAATGAGGACAAACATAGGTTACATGTTCAAGGAATAATGGTCTGCCATTCATGTCCATTTTATCCTTATCCAAAACCCCGTATGTATGTGCTTCATCGGTCTTATTGAAATCAAGTAAGTTTCATTAGTATGATATTGTCTACCATCTCAAACCTAAACTCTCAATTAGCCTTTGATCTCACTTGTTGAAACCGAACGATCTATTAGTATGATATTATCCGATTTAGACCAAACACGCATGAATTTATTTTTGAGTTTCGTCCAAAAAGCATCATAGTACTACTTCTAGTAGTTAGCACTCTTACTTTACTTGAATAAAGATTCAGTAGGTTCTACCGTACAGGAGGCGAGACAAGTGAAAATTAGGGTTGGCTATTTGGTCCGGGCTTTTTGGTTTTCCTTGAAACCGGACCGTATAATCCGGACCGAGACCGGATAGCAAACAATCCAATCCAATCTTCGGGCCTACATTTGAGGTAAAAAACCATTTGGGACCGGACCAAAAATCGGATAAAGACTGGATAAGAGAGCCCAACACACAAAATTTAACCTCCTCACCCTTTCAGGCCTTAGGCCACTCAAATCCCCCCTCAAGACACTCAAATCCCCACAAGCTCAATATAAATCAAGACCGAATTGGGACCGGGCCGGTTCAAGACCGAACCGGATCAAAACAGGATTGTATCCGATCCAATCTTTGGTCTTTATATTCTCGAAAAGATCAGACCGTGACCGGATCAATTCGGGCCAATTTAACCGGACCGGACCGTATAGCCACCCCTAGTGAAAATGGATCCGTTCTAGGCCGGACAAACCGACAAAGTAGAAATTTAAATTTTAGCCTGTGGGCGTATATTGGGCTTCTTTTGCTACGTGAAAAGAGAAATGGGCAGATAAACGGTAAAGCCCGCCGCCCACATTAACAGATCCCCTCGATTCAGTTTTTGTTGGGCTTTAGCTTCAGCCGATTCGCCGTTTGCTTGTTTTGCAATTCTAGACATGTCAGTTGTCTACTTAATGGTCTAATGAGCAAAATTGTTAGTACACAGGTATAAATTTTGTTTTCCATAAGATATGATGTAGACCTACAACTATATTAATATTAAAGAGGAAGAAAATAAACTTGAAAAGAGTTCATAGAGATACTAAGATTCATTGAAATTATTCAATATATTTCAATATAACAAAAAAAAACTCATACGACAGAAGTGAATAATATCATGCATTACCATTCTTCCAAATTAAACTGTATGTATGGTGAAGGAAAAAAAAAAAGAATGATCAACTGAAAAAATGATGTATTATATATGCTCACACTAACCGAACAACATTATAGAAAACATTACTGATACTATTTATCTACATTGTCGTTTCACAAAAGTGTTATCCGATACTAATTTACTGATCAGGCTTCTCAATCTCCTGGAGCCCGGCCCAGGAGCCAAAGGCCCATACTTAATCCTATCGACATCCACCATACTAGGACACCCTCCATTACCATTCCTCCTCTTCCCACCAACACTACCCATACCACTCTCCAAACACCACCCTCCATACCCAAAATTGCCATTGTTGTGAGACCTCCGGAGCAACTCCCGGTCGATCTTGTCAAGGACCGGGTCGTTGCGCTTGAACTTGCGAGCGAATGGGCGGGCGCTGAGGATCATTCGTCGATAGTCCTTGAGGGTGAGGTACCTAGGGTGCTGCCTGGGTGGGTTATCCCAAGTAATGTAGTGGAGGTCATGGTTGGCCGTCGTATTCCTGAACTCCGGCGAGTTGCATATAAGGGTTTGGAAGTATCCCTCAGGCGAAGACACAAAGTTTGTGTAGTAGAGGAGGAGAGTTCTGGGCAGGTTCTCGTATCCTACAATGCTGTACTCCGCGAATGATCTTGATAGGATCGTCCAAGCTGAACCTGTATCATCGATAATTTTCAATCTATCATCATGAGTAACTGAATCGGGTTGCACCATATCAAAACGATAACCAAAATCTACCGAGATTGCCATAGTTATATGGTTAGGTTAATCTACTAGAGATAATCAAGCAACTAATTTGAAAATTGAAGTAAATCAAACAAACTATATCGTTAACCTAGCTAGTGGATACCAGATCCACTGTTCAATTTCTCATGTCTGATGAACATGCATGTATATGGTATCTAATCTCTTTGAAATTGAAAGAAAAAAACAATCGGTCAGTTGGGTTATTAGGTTGGTTCTAGATTCCTGGTATGGTAATCAAATGGCAACTCTTCTTTCTTCTGTAAAGGTAGGTGCTGGTTAGTTAGTGCATCAACAACTTACCTACCCAGCAAATGTTTATTGGAAATGAAAGGTAAAGGTAAAGAAAAGAAAAGGGAAAGGGACAACCTCACGTTTTCCCCATCTTTCTTCTCACATTATTCGACCTAGCTAGGTAGCCAGTAGAATCACATGTTCCCCAAAAAGAAGGTCTTATTCAGTTACATACATCTCTCACATTTCATTAGTTTGGTGGATGTCTCAATTTTCGATGGCTACCGCAAGCTATTGGTAGCAACATGGCATATTGCCAAGGAATGTGATACCAACAATGACGGTGAAGGTTGGGCTGTTGCTGTTGAGTAAAGGCAATGTGGAGATTTTGCTATTTTCGCTAAGATTGATTGATGCCTTGCAACTCACGGAAAGGGGAGGGAAGTTGGGTTCTTGTTCCAAGGGCTCGTCGTTACAATATATGCCAAACTTCAATTCTAAGGCAAAAGAGATGTTTCCATCGTCGATCTCGTATCTAACACTAACAGGTCGGTTTAGTGGCGCATGGATTTGAGTGGCAAGATTTCGATCCCCCCGACAGGAGGTGAATATTTCGGTTCCCTCCAGACGATCGTTTAAAATAAGAAAACACGTCGTGTGCAGCTACCTACAAGAAAATCTGTTCTCCTCTTTTTTCGCAATGGACGAATCAGGTTGGAAGCAGTGGCATTTGGAGCAAGCTAATATCGTTAGATGCCCACAATGCTACAACACCTATATAATCCCAGTGGCGGGAATCGAACCCATGAAAAGTTTTCTTGTTGCCCTTTTTTCACTGATTTGATTCCCCAAATGAAAGAAATTTTTAAAAGAAGAGAAGAGAGATTCTGTAAAACTGGAAAGCAGGGTCTTAGATTTGAGGTCAGCCTTCAGGCCACAAACAAGTGGTCCATAATTACTGTCGGCAGGTGGATCGGATGATAACAAAGACAGATGAGTAAATCTAGACATTAGAATTACAAAACAAAGAATTTAAAACCCAGATGGCAGACGCAGAACAATGAAGAAACATTTTTTTTTTTTATGAAAAGCAACCATAGTTGTTGTTGTAGAATTAAAAGGAAAATGATGAATAAGAATCTAAAATAAGCATGTACTGTGGCGGGGTTCTACATCTACATGTGTCGGTCTGAGGTTTAGCACATGCTGCTTCTCTGTGACTGATAAGAGTAATACAGTAATCCTAGTGTTTTCCAATTTTGTTTACAGTTTAATTTTAGAGATAATTAATGCTTAATCCCACATCTTAACTAAATAATATATTATCCAAACTAGACAAACAAAACACTAATCTTTTGTGATTTATACAAAAAAAGAATTCATTTCATCAGACTGATGCTAATTACCTGTGTAGAGCTTGAAGGCAGTGGGGATGGGCCTTTGTTTAATCACCCACCAGATCTCTGATTTGTTGTTGCTGTACAACCCTGGGTCTATTATTATGGGCTTAGCTCTCTTATTCCTGATTCAATTAACACCAATAATCAAACTTAAAACCCACATTTAAACAAGACATTATAAAGAAAACAGAGCACTTCGAGGGAGAAAAATAAAGGACTGATCTTGGCTTACAGTTTCCAGCCCAAGCGACTGCTATGCTGTACGAAGTTGAGATTTCTCGGCAACCCAGAAAATGCATCAATCAGATCTACAAAACCCAGATATCAGAAATCCCAATCGTGATTATAGTCTCCGATTCCGGCTAATTCAATCCAATTTTGAAGAAACAGGGGGTGGGAAATGTCAAATGTTGAATAAATAAATAAAAAAGAATTCACTCACCATACCATCTTGAGTAACCAAAGGGTAATCGGAGGCACTGAGATTAATGAACCAATCCCAGTTGGCAGCCCGGAGAAGAATCGCCATGGCGTGGAGGGTAGTCGCCAGCATGGTTGGCCCTCTGTAAGTCACCAGATTGGGCTTCCCGACCATCCACACATTCCCCATTGCTCTGAAAACGGGCTCGCCGGCGATGAACTCCGACAGTCGGCCGTGCTCTTCCGGGGGAGCGGCGGAGTCCAAATGGACGAGGTAGTAGTTGCCCGGATGGTATAGGGCCTTGAGGAGCCGCATCAGTTTTCTGGAATCCCCTCTGGATGCGGAGATCAGGTAGGCGAATTTGACGGGGTAAGTGCCGCGGAGGATGTTTTTGTTGGCTGCGGCGGCAGGGGAGGCGGTGGGTGGAGAAGAGAGGTTGGTGGCCGGGATGTAGAGGAAGGAGTAGAGGAGGGAGATTAGGATGAATGAGATCATTGAAATCTTGATGATCCCCATTTGGGTTTTCGTTTTCCTCCGAAACAGAGGATTTAGAAACAGGGGAAATTGGAATGGGAGGAGGAGTGGGTTCTCTTTGTGCTTAATTGGCTTTCATTTCATATATGGAGAAAATAGGGAATTCTTTTCTTTATTTCTTTTGTAAATTTGGGGTTGCTTTGAAGGGAGGCCGTCCAGTTGTCAGCAGGAGAGTGAGAAAACTGTGAATATTTTTTTGGTATGGAGAGGGGTTTATAAGAAAGAAAAAGAATGGGTGTGGTATGGTGTTGCAGATTTGCAGTTGAGATGTAATTGCGAATTTTTCTTTCATCTTTTGTTATTATTACTCCTACTTGAAAATGTAGTTGTAGATGATGCTTAAGAGTCACTATCAGGTTATGGTTGGCTTTTGATTTTTGAACAAATGGGGAATATTGTGGAAACTGGAAAGGAGGAAAGTGGATGTTGGGAGAGAAAACTTTGGTTTTTACCTTTTTTTAAGTTCTGGCAAAATATGTGGTTATGAATTGCAAATGTGAAATTGATATGTTTGTATTGTTTTCACCCGGTATGCGAGTTTTTTTTTTTTTTTTCTTACATGTTATTGAAGAGAGTTTGGAAGGGAAAGGGGTATGAGAATTCTTATTAATCATTTTGTACTTGAATTGCTTGGGAACAAAGACTATCCAATTTAAGTTGGCACAGTGCAAATTACTTGTGATGCAGTACAAGTCTAACATGTAATGTCAGAGCAAAGAAGAAAGGAGATGCAGTATGGTGCTATGGGCATCCGGGCATGTACTGCAATGTGGTTAAGTATGAAAGCTTAGTCATAGTGATGGTAATAGGGCGTGGCGGGAAAATGATAGTGATGGCAAGGGAGGACGGGACGGGTATTTTTTTTATTATCAAACATGCATTTTAATTATTTTTCATCCAAATGTGTCATTCGGATATAATTTAATCCAAAAAAGTCAACTATAGTCCAACGGTGGTTTGGGCAATACAAAAGTCTAAGGCGCCCTTAATAATTTCAATTAAACATTTTTTTTTCTTTTGTATACCCCAATAACCCTAATAATTTTACTTTAGTGGACTTGGAGAAATAAATGGAGTGACAAAACTAATATTTTCCTTCCCTTTTTTGCTGTGGCCAAGTCATTCGAATCACGGTTCAACAGTTGTTGATGGTTTTTGGATGCAAATTTTAAGAGAAAGCATGTTTGATAATGTTTCTAAAAAAAAATGAGTATGTTTGATGCAAAAAATAGTAGAAACATGTTTAATAAAAATACATAGTGGTCTAGGATCAAATGATCATATATTATACATTTGTACATAAGTAGATCTAATTTATTGATTTTGTGTGGGGCTATATCTGATGGTTAACATTAAATGATTGCTTTAGTCCATTATTTTAATTTTAATTTTATATTTTTCGTTTTAACTTGGGTTTTCTTATTTAACCCAAAAAGAACGAGTTGATTGTGATATACAAAAATTATAATCATTTTTATATATTTGGGAACTTTTTTCTCCATACTACCTACTACCACCTCTTACCTAATTCACTTTGACCCGGATGTTGAAAAAATGTGCATAGGAGAATTAGGTTCCTTGTGATCTGCAAAATTATATACATTCTCAATATATTTCGGGTAACATTTTGTTCGAACCAACTACATCAACCTCTACTATAGTGGTATGATGGTGGTAGAAGATGATAAATAGTTGTTAGTAACTTAGTATTCCTACCACCATGTAGACCACATATTTATACTATGATATGTTTCATTGTACCATCATGGTAAATTATGGTAGAAATTTATGGTTAATTTTCTATTTTTTAAATGTATCAAGATGAAAGACATTTTGTAAATCAACTAACTATAATTTTTCTGTGAAAAAATTAAACATTAAATTAAATGAATGAGATATAATTCGTCATTTTTATTGAGGAAAACGATTATGTGTGGTTGAACTGAAGGATGCGCATTGCTGTTACTGTTACGCTATTTTGGAGGCCATTTTTTTCTATTTAGGTTAATTAAAATGGTATATGAGGGTGTAATTTTTTTTTCTTCATGATACACCATTTGTTTTCATCATACATAATACGTCATTATTAATCTGTTAGAAAATTACAATTTCGTAGTACCCATCCTCGTTAGCAGTTTCGATAATTTTTGTTGGCAAGTAGACGTATAGTTCTCTATCGATACATGCAAAGAAGATCCAAACGTATAGCAATCTAAACACCATCCACGCTCTTGGAGAGTCCCCCCCCCCCCCCCCCCCCCCCCATCATTCTATAAACACCTCTGCTGCATTATCATGATATGAGAAGAAGTAAAAAAAAAAAAAAAAAAGGAATAAGTGACAATGGAAGAGAGATCAATGATTTAAATGAGGTAATGTGGATAGATGTAAACAACATAAATATATGTAATGATGTATACTAATTGATTAGAGATTTAGATCACTGTAGCTATCTCCATGGTGAAGTAAATTGATCTCTGGGAATGGATTTGTTGATTGATGCAAATGGGGGAAGGGTTAAACAAGATGCACGAGAAAGGTTCCATAAAAAAAAAGATGCACGAGAAAGGGAATGCAAAGGAAACGAAGATAGGGACAAGTCGATTGGGCTCAGGCACAGAGGCCCACAAAGTCAAAGAGCGCCCCATGCAGCCTGAAGCAGAGCCCAGATGGGGCTAAATCAGGCCTCGCCAATCTGATGCTACTAAGTGGTGGTGGCGCAGATTGGGCTGCAAGTGGGGTTTCGATTTAGGCCAACACTACAGTGCCGCTATTAAAAGTGCGGCGCCGGTGACACCAATTTCTATTGGTCCACATGGCATGACAAAATGATGTGGCAGTTTTTGGTTTTATAGAAACCGAGCCGAAAATATGTCGCTCAATCGGCCCAGCCCTTGCAATTGAACCAATGAATTTGTTTATCCTTTTTTTTTCTTTCCATAATTGCTTTCGATGAAGTTCTTTTTTATTATTATTATTATTATTATTTCTACGAAGCCCTCACCCACAATTCACCATATTCAAAAGCACTGCCCACTAAAATGTCCAGGAACATAGTGATAAGGAGGGTAGACTTATGAAACAAGGTGTGCAAGATGCAGCCGGCGGTAGCTCACAAGTCCCTCCGATGATCTTCAAAGCACCTCTCTTCTTCTCCGAACAGCTGTTAATTCCTCTACACTTCCCTCTATGTAATAGTATTACAATATTATATAGATTGATTTCCTTCACCTTGGAAACACCGACTTTTTATGCCATAACTAATGATAGCTGAAAATTTATTCACATAGGAATGAAAAAACATCATTCGGCTCAATCTGTCTGAGATAGAAACCAAATATTTGTTTCTCTCGTTCCAAAAACCTTGAACCCGGTGGGAAGCTTTTGATTGAGTGTTACTGAAATTCTTATACAAATTCATGGCGTTTGCCTGACACCTGGACCCGATTTGTGGAATTTTTGAAGCTTGTCAAGGATTGCAAACACTACCTTCACATTTTTTTTTTTTATTGTTCTTCACATTTATTCTAAATTATATAAAGAAATGAAATGTTGAGCTAGAGAGAAAGAACCCATTTTATTGATTGAACATAGAAACTACAAGGGACCCATTTATCTATCTACAGAGTCTGACACGGGACCCATTTCTCAAAAATTGGATTCCTGAAGAATGGATGGTCCAGAGCATCTCTAGCAGTTAATCATTCTGATGGATCATATATCAACAGTCCGCTTAACAGATCGATAAGCAAGGATCTAGAACTCTGTGTGTGTCGATACACCATTTCTTGAATTAATACAAAGAATGCCCAGGTTATTTAAAGTCCCATAATCCAGGATTCTAATGCAGCAAGCAGAATTGAAAGGGAATGTCTTCAACATGAAGTTTCCTCGCAGTTCCAATACTCTTCCTGGAAACTGCTCCTTTTAGCCCATTCAATCTTCTTCAGAAATATTTTTCAGCTCCCCCACTGCAAAGCAACATGTGTTCTGGTAAATATCATTATACCCTGCTCCTTCTGGCCAATTTAATCGTCGATGCTATATCAATTGAATGCTATAAAAGGGAGGGTAAGGAAATATCACATAATTAGCCTTAGAAATCCCGTGTTATGGTAAATGTCCTAATATCCTCTCCATAATTTTCTAAATGTTCCAAGTTCTCATGTGTATGGAATAGTGCTTCACCCTACCAACAAGAAAAGTCAAGTAAACTTCCGTTCGTGATTAAGAGTGTAATTACAAGACCTTCCAAAGCTCAAAATGGATTTGCACATAATGACACTAATCGTGTATAAGTCCGTATGCAATTAACACTCCATATATCAGAGCGGTAGCTCCATCCTAAACCTCCGAGAAGAATATTATGGTGCAAGTTAAAACACAAATCTCTATGATTCTTTTACGAGTCTTAAGAAAATCATATAAACTTGGTCCAACTCGATCAAAGACCTGGTGAGACAATTGAAATGCATTCTAAAAGGAATATGTATGTTTAGTCCCCAATTGCACGAACTCAGATCACATAGCACCTCGGCGCTGAAGTGCTAAAAGGATGGCAAGAACTCAATTCATCAAGCATACTGCCGGGTCAATCAATCTTTATCGAGAACCTCACCTAAAATCAAGTTCATACAATATGATGTTCTTCACATTCTGCAAAATAATAATTGGCGGGGTGTGGAATGAGGATGAGATAAACAATAATTATATATAGACAGATAATAGAAAGCTCTGCTCTGAGTATATCCAATTTCCATCTATAACCTGTGAGCATGGAGTCCATCATCACAAACGTTGTAAAGGAAGGTAAGGAACAAGGAGTAACCATCATATTCAAATGGAAGATTATGGTGGGATACTTACAGTACAGATACAAGGAGATCAGTGAGCCGAAAGCCAGAGACTGGAGAATGGATCAGCGGGGCACACAAGTTCGCCGGAACTGCTACTGACAGTCCGCCTGAGCAGGAGAGAGAGGAAGACGGAGATCCATAGATGGGAGACGAAAATAGATACGTCTCCGTTTCTTTGGCCAATAGCAATTTGACCGGTTCATGGTTAGTGGTTACAGAGTCTGATACTAGGTTTAATACATTTAAGCAGTGCCATGTCATCATTTACGTGGACCAATCACAAGTTGCGGCACTCATGCCGCACTTTTTCTAGCGGCA